AACTCCTTTGCAGGGTTGTCAGTCTGGGTTTTCTTACAGTGGAGAGCAGAGGAGTTGCAAGCAGGAAGGAGGGTGAAGATAGGTTCAGATTTATCTGCAAATGCATCCCATATATTTTAAGATATTGAGGAACAGATTTTATTAATTGCTCCCATGAAGGGAGAGATAGTGAAGGAATCCAAAAGTGCTATCATTACACAACTGTCTGATCTACGATGTTGATTCTGTTGCACAACCCTGCATAAAACTGAAATAAACACAATTGACTTGAAATGCAAATGTCTTCGGGTTGCTCTTTTTCTGATATGAGCTATGGCAAAAGACAAGAACAAATAGAAAAGTGGCCTTTTTCCCAGGTGAATGTGCTTGCATGTCATCTATCCTATTAAAATGAGTTTTGGTGCTTTAAGGCACCTCACATGTTTAACACCTATTCTTATGAAGCTCATCAGTTACACAGCATTCCCCTAGAGATGAATTCAGAGTTTCACAGAGATGAGGACTCAAATTTTGAAAAGCACAAAAAGCTTGCTGCACTTTTTTTTTTTCACCACCTGGCTGAAGGAAAGTCCAAGCACAAGCCTCCACACATTGTATCTGTGTTAGCTGTAAATGCCAGGTGCTGCTGGAAGTCAGCGCCCAGAGGTTAAGAAACAATAGACAATCAAAACACTGGAATTGTGTTTTCAAGGGAAAATGTCTGGCTGAAAGTGTGTGGCCAGTAAATGCCCGAGTATGGCAAAGGCAGAAGGAAGATTATCCTAATATGCTTTTGGCTTCTTGTGATGTTCCAGACCACTCCAGCCTTATTCCTAAACAATGATCTAACTAGAATGACCGGTCATCACAGCCCTAACTCTGATATTTCCTCATAGTCTGTCAGATGACAAAATAGCACAAGGAGTTCTTTGTTTACAAAACATGATTGTTGAGGCAACTAGATGCAAAATAAGTGTCTGATGTACACATCTCCTGTAATTTTAGAGCAGATACCTCCAGAAACATCTTCCGTTCCTCTGCATAGTGAAGTGATACTGCATTCAAGCCTTCCTTCATGATACAGGTCTCCGTATACATTCAGAAATAAGGTGTGATTTTTATGACCAATCAGTCAGGCTCCTTGGTGGTGTCCTAATTGCTGTCCTAATATTTTGCGCTACGTGTGCAATGATGGCCAAGCAGTTACCTTGTCCTGCCCTTCCCGCCCGTGTCCTCTCTCGTGCTGGCTAAAGAAGCTGCATGAGCAATAGCTTGAATCTCTTGATAAATTCACAATGTCAAAAGACATCAAAGGCTTTCAGCCTCGTTCATCAGCAAGTCCTAATTGATTTCTTGAGCAAGTCTAGAGGATTGCCAAGATAACTATACAGTGACCTACTCATCAGCTGCAATCAGGAACTTCCACGAATTTTACAGGAGGAATTTGTTTAAGGTATGCTCTTATCTAAGATAACTCATAAAGCCTTAACAGATGACATATATATTTTTAAAAGCTCCCTGGTTTTATATGAACACTTGAGATACAGAGGTAATCAGTGAATTTATTCAGATTTGTAGCTCAGCATAAAGCTGTCTGGTTTTTGGACAGCCCTTTTGATTTACCATCCTGTGGTGAAATCGCTGCAGGAATCTGGAGAAAGTCCAATTCTATTTGTTTCAAGTCCTGATCATGTGGCTTTGGCATTCCTAACATATCCAGCAATCATTTGCTTTTAATTACCATTCATTTCAACCACATAAGTAATGAATGTAGCTACCACATCCAACTTACAGGCTGTGTAAACTCTTGCGCTGGGTGGAACTTTCTTCTATATAGAGGCTTAACTATAAATTTAACTCAAAATGTGAATCCTCTTAACTTATAAAAATATGTCTAAAATAAGTTTAAGATAAAAATAAATAAAAAGGAAATGAAAAAAAGCTTTAAATGAAAGATTCCACACAATACACCTGATTCACTTCAGAAGCAATTTCCTGGCCTTCTCAACCTTTTGGTATGACTGCAGAAACCTTAAAAAAACAAGTTGATTTAATGTTTCTATTTATTCATGGTGTCCAGTTTCCAAAGGAGTCTGTGACTTGTAGTTTTAAACTCAATTTAGCATTTAAACTCATTTTCAGCTGGGTCCCAGTGGAGCAACAATTAGAAAAGGAAAAGAGTTCAAAGAAGAAGGGTTATAACCTTTCAGTGGTCTGCCTGGACTTAAAAAAAAAAGCATCTCTTGTTACTATTCTTCCTACATGTGGCAAACACTAGGTCAGACAGCCAAGCTGCAAACCTGTTGGTACAGAGAACTTCACAGTTAAGTACAAGCCAACACCCAAAAATCTTTAATGACAGCTGAGGCAAAGGCTCATTTTTTAGGGGTACTGTTATTTATGGCGTGCTGAAAGCCTAGTACCAGCAGGCCCAACTTCTCTTGAGAAAAAAAAATCGTGCCCTGAATCTGAGCAAGAGGAATCTACCAAAAAAACACAAAGAGAAGCTGTGTTGTTGCACACTTGAAACTTGTGTTAAACCTACACATCTTCTGCTGTTGAAGGCTCCAGCTGAGACTGGTGTCCCAGCAATCCCCACACTGTATATATACATTGTGGGAGCCAAGCAGCCCTTGCAGGCAAAGGTTGGACAAGAAACAGAGGTATCCTAACTCTCCAGAAGTCCTGAGTGGCCGAACTGGGAGTCACGCAGTGTCCTGCAAATCAGGACCTGGGTCTCCCATTTATTAAACTGTAGTGGAGAGCTAGAAACTGTACATATTTTGGTGTATTCATAGTTCACCTGTGCTTTCTATAGCAACAGCACCTTCTGTTGCCAACAGTATTCTTAAGAATGGGCTTCTAGTGTCATGAATTCAGCCTTGAGATTCAGCCTCTTCCAAGACCTGGCTACCAAAAATCCTATTTGGAAGCACTGTACTTCATGAATATCAGGGGATAACCAGTCCTCTTGTTTATCTTTCCCAGTTCTCATAAACATACCATGTGGAAGCCTCCCCTGGGATCCACACCACAGGCTCTCCCCAGTCAGAGTGCACGGGTACTCCCAGGTAGGACCTGCAGACATCTGGGACTGAGGGATAACAGTGTGCAGGGTGACCGAGGCAGGCAGGCTGAGGCTGCTCCTACCTTCCACATAGGGATGTCACCCATCCTGTCAGAATGGATCAGATTGTTCCTGTGATAATGGACTTTGGTAACACACATGTGAGTTTTCAGTAGTCTCACAGTTTATTTAGCTAATGTGGCTCAAGAAAGAGACCATTATGCAAGACTTGGTACCATAAGTTTGAGCATTATATGTTAAAGGCACTATATTTTAGAAGAAAAAAAAGTGATGCTATAGTAGCAGAAAAAACCAGTAGGAAAATCGTTACCAGTGTGTCTTAAAATTACAGCAGACCTGAACAAAAGTCTTATTTTTATAAACCTGGTCAACAGTACACCTGATCATTCTGACTGTAATGAACTCACGACAGAGTAGAAGTGTAAGCATTTACTATGTTCTCTGTCAGCTCATAATAAGACAACTAGATTTGACCAGAAAATATAATTAGCTAAGGTGAATTAAATCAAGATTTTTACTCTGTTTCACATGGTCAGAAAAAGGTCTACCATATTTTCTAGTACAGATAAAACAGCTGGTGTCAGATAATTTGTAAATTTGTACCTATGGATACCTGCAAGGAAAAGATTTAGGAAAGCACTCTCACTCCCAAATAAGCAAAGAGAAAGTTAACGTGCATGTTTAAATTAATTAAAGTACAATTTTTATGAGTAGCATGCTGTGGTTCATATATTGCTGCTGAAACTCCTTTTTGGGAATACAAAAAAGAAAAATTTCTTTAAAAAGAAAATGCAAATTTGTCCCTAGTCATTTGAAGAGCACGTAAGAATGACAGAAATGATAGCAGCTTCATACAGAGATGCAGTTGACTGTGGATTAAAATTCTCTCTAGGCCAGGCTACTAAAACACTTAAAGGCAGATCATGTAAGGTCCTGAACCATTGGAATTTGATGTTCACTGAAGGCAGATGCAACCCAGGGTGGCCAGTTTTGAATGGAAGGGAAAGCCAAAGCTTTATCATCAAAACTTTCCTTTCCCCTGTCGTGTTCCCTGCTATTTCTGACAAGCTGTAGCTGATTTTGAGTTGATTGCAATGAGATGTTTAAAAATGGTGACAACCCATTAGCTGGAAGTGCTGCTGTGGCAGTGCCCAGCTGGAGCACACCGGCAGCCGCAGCAATGTGGTTCCAATCGCCACCTGCCTTTGAAATGTCACCAGGAAAGATCTATAGACAGTCTTCCTGCTACAGGCCATCAATGTCTACTCTTCCTGTTTGATTTTTATTTAACTTTCTATGGGTTGATCAGTTCACAATGAAGCTGAGGGCACTCTGAGGCCCCTTTGAAAACTGAATTATCAAATGGAATTAGAGCCCTGTTCAAAATTCACCTGTTTTTCATTTTATTAATGTGTGTGCCTGCATCCAGATCTATGACCTGCACAGCCCATCAGGTTTTTTCCTTCATGCTGCCCTTTTCATGTGTCTACCTTGCAATTTCCTCTTTTTCTCTTCAGGTTATGGATCACTCAACTTCCATATGCTGATACAGTTTGATTTCCTCTCTCTGGCAATACCACAACTACACAAGCATCCACATGCCTATTTCTTTTGTCCTTTCTCATCCCTGTATCAAACTTACTTTTCAGCTGCTATTCTAAAGCCATGGTCCCAGCCAACAACTCCTGTCTCTGCAGACAAGTCTTTAATTCAATCTATTGAATTTATTGACCTTACTTCATCAGCCTACTTTTTCCACATTTGCTGCAGCCTCATAAGCCACAGAAGAGTTACTATTCTCACAAAATACATTGTGTTTTATTTTTTTTTAAATTGGCTGCTTCACCTGTAAGGCTGAAATCCACCTCTTGTTTTAGAAGCACATGGGCCTTGTCACTAGCATCTTAAAGAGAGGGCATACATAGACACGTACCTCGGCATTTTGAAGAGGAGGCTGGTAACTAGAGGGCCGATAGTACCTCCTCTGAGTAGCGTCAGTATGAACATCTCCGAGAAACAGCTCCTCCACAAGGTGGTCCAAATTGTGGTGCAGGTACTGCTTCTCCACACGGATCAGCTGGAGCTCATGCATGGCAAAATTCAGAGCTTTGGTGCATTCGCAGCCATTGTCTTCTCTCAGCAAATCGTAGCTCACATCCTGCTCCCAGGGACTATCTTCTGGTATAAATCCAGGACAGGTGTGGTTCACCAACTCACTTAATTTTTTGGCTATTGCTTCATTGTGGCATATGATCTGTATGTTGCGTAGTTGATAATCAGCCTCAGTACCTCCTCGGATGATCCAGGATGCTTGGCGGAGACGTATTTTGCCACGGATAACTAATGTGTAGATGGGGTTTGTGCAGCGATTGCCACCGTAATAAAACTGGTAGGCCTTGAATGTATTATTGTGGTAGAACCTGTAAGATCTTGTGATGAACTCTGGGCCTGCTCTAACTTCACAGCTGTGGGAAGACAGAAAGTGAAGGAAACAAGATTTTAGCAAGGTCATGTAGTCTACAGGTAGCAAGATGGAACAAACCTGCATGAGCACACAGAGACATTTGGGTGCTGATGTCCCTTTGACATAACCGGGGGTAAATGGGAGCTTGGCATCTGTGGCACGCCAGTTAACCAACAATTGACCTGCTGTTATGCTGTTATTAATATACTGCTTCATGCTGATCTTACTAAGGGCTTTATCTTTGCAGTTTTAAATATGTTAGGTCATATTTTGCATTTCCTTTTTGTCTAGGGACTACCATGTGACCCAATTCTTCTCTGAAAAAAAGTAGTAGGTTATTAAACATCTTGTCTTCTCTTCTGCATGGTAGATTTATCAAAAGGACTGATAACATCAGAAAGTGAAATGTCAAATGGCCACAGAACAACAGTACAAAGAACTAGCTTCTCTAGCTGCTGTACAAGCTTCTTGGTGGTGCTCCACCAGCTCTGGTCTGCAGAAGATGTGGAGGAACGTGTCCTCAGCTTTACCACTCTCAACCAGGAGTTTTTCCTGAAGGTGTAAATAGCAGTTAAATTCCACTTCCTTCAGAAAGTCCTTTTGTGCCTTCAATCTTGTCCCTCTGGTAGCATCCACACTGCTTAACATGAATAACAGTCCTTTCTATTAAAATACCCCAGTCTTTCCTACTACAAGTCACTTCAAATAAGCATGTGAATATCACCTGCTGAGACACAGAAAGCAAAACAGCTCTCTGAATTACAAGTCTCTATGTCTAGGGAGCAGAACTAGTGAAATCCAGCTTCTTAATTTCTTTTGCTAATAAAATCTGTGCTAGAGAGATACTCTGAAAACAAGGGCCCGTTCAACGGATCTAATGCATATAGTCAAAGATAGCACAATGTCATGTTTGAATAAGCATTCATTTTGGCATCTTGGGCTCCTGCCTATTTGAAGAGAAATTTAAACAGCATGCTGTTTAAAATCCAGACTATAAATTGATTCATCAAGACAGTTTTATAGCATGCTATTCTATGCATGTACATAATGTCACTCCTTCTCCTTTTAAGCATAAACATATAGAAAGCATCTGGAATGTAGAGCATCACCATATTAAAGGAAATATTTCCCCTGCTGCTTAAAGTGGGAATAGTCACCCTTCCCTCTGCTCCCTTCTGGCCTTCCCTTCCACATGTATCACTCAAGCATCTTGTCTCATCTTTTCTTACCCAGTAGAGACCCAGTGTCCTTCAATATTAGGAGGCATCTGCACAGTGATCCTGGCTCCATTGTGAAGGTGTTTCAGCATGTGATGACACTGTGACTCCTTGAAAGCCCTCCATGCGCTCTTCTCCAAGGACCGAGGGTGGGACCTGCTGTCTGGGTGAAGAAGAGCAGAACCTTCTCCCAGCCCTGTGACAGAAAAATGTAAATTGTCATGAGATCCTACTGAGAAGGGCTTCAACACGATAAAGGAGGTTGTGAACATCTTGTGTTGAATGACACTTGTTCACAGTGTTATGTGTCTAGGAAAGTACTGTTTAATTTTCATTTCTTACCTGAAAACAAAATAAAAATGTGAATCTCTTCAGCTCTGTCAGCCCACTAATAATCCACTAAATAAATCTGCTTTATGAAGTATACTGGGGAAAAGGCCATGAGCCAAATTGTTGTGTTTCCTCACCCAGGAGATGTGGTTCTGAACCTGAATTTTATAAACACCTCTGTAATCTCTGGTCAGGATAATAACAAACCTGGGCCATGGAACTTTTAGAAGGTTGCATCCAGATCCGGACTTGAACTTTGTGGTTTCAGTCCACCTCTAATTTGAACTCTTCTATAATAAACTTACAAATAAAGACTAGTCTTTAAAGCCAAGGGAAAACAGATATTGAAAGCAAAGCCTCTGCACACAGGAAGCCTCTGTGATGACTGAGGTGGTCAATTAAAGGCAGATTCTGCTATTTTTATTTTAAAGGGGAAAAGGAATTTCAAAAGCTAATTTTATCTCCAGCACACAGTAATTTTGGTTTCTAGTAATGTATACACACCAAACCCACCAGTGCCCTCTCTACACAATATTAATTGAACGAAATGAATACACAGTTTCAGAGGGAATGCATCTTTACTCTTTTAGGCACAGCCTGCTCGTAGATATGTTGGAAAACACGGATCAAAAGAAAAACACACATCTAGAGGTTAAGAGGTGACAAACATGAACCTTACATAATGAGTTGGAAACTGTATTACTTTGCCAGAAGGAATTTAAGAACCAGCAGGCTAGAAAGCAAATACAGGGTGGGGTGGAGGGGCTGGCTGGGGCAGCCATCTCGGGAGAGGAAGGTCTTGCTAACCTGTGCTCCCTGGGGAAGGGTCTAGGATTCACCCCAATCTTTGCTGGTGCCCTCTTGGCAGACCTGGCTCAGGACCTGGGCTGTTGGGGATCACCACGGTGCAACCCCAAACATTGCATCGAGCTGCCTCTTGCAGGATCCTACACTTTTTCCCCCAGGCCCCAATTAACGTTCAGGCACGTGCTTGGGCAGCACGCAGTATTGCTACAGGAATTCCAAGAAAATCAGTTTGGTTTTAGGCTGACACTGTTTCAAACCTCTGCCGTTTTCTATTGCAAAAAAGAAAACAGTGTCAGTGATTCATTGTGTTGGCTTGGTCTTAGATCTTCCGGAAGAAGCTTGGGTAACACCTGGGAACATGGCATTGCTAAAAATACAAATACATGTCAACCATTTGAAAATAGCAATTCCTTAAGCTAAACAAAGGCAAGGACTTACCCAGTAGGCAGGGTAAAGAATACAATAAACACTTGAATGTAAACAGTGATCACCACTGAACGATCTCAAGATTTAATGAGATTAATGAATACAACCTCACAAAGTCTTTACTGGAAAATCTGGTAGCTTGGTTGCAGGTTACTAATAATCCTTCCATCTGACTGAGAATTTACGGCCTTGCTTTCTAAAGGGTAATAAACACTAGAGATGCTTTGATATTTGAGCATGCTGACTGAGATGCCCTTCAAGGAGCCTGTATTTCAGAGGGTCAATGCTTCCCCCTTTCTGGAAGTCAAGGCTTCTCGGGTATTTCTACATTACATATACAGAGTCACTCGTGGTAGCACCAATCAACTCCTGTTCTCCAGCCAGAAACTGTACAGCCACTTTAGAAGTGGCCATGGCAGGGCAATGCTCTGCTTGAGCCGACAGCGTCTTTGGAGAGGCAGGATTCACCAGACAGGCTTAGTGCTTCATGTACACTCCTGGGTTGAAGCCAGCACCTCTGCACAGCAGTTCTGTGCTGTGCAATGTCTGCAGCTCACCCCACTTGGACACTCTTGAAAACTTAGGTTTATCTGAAGCCCTGTGGGTACAGGGCATGTATCACAGGCCACCACACACTGCCAGGAGAACAAGTTCAGCCAGGTACAGGTGAATTTACCAGTCTACTTATTCTTGTCATTATGAATCACAGCTGGTGACTGAAAACTTGCCTTCTAACACCCTTTTCTAGCTCTAAGTTTCCGCATGCTCAAAAAGTCCACACAATTTCAGCAGCTTATTCTGAAATGGAGTGCTCCAGCCCATGGCTTTGGAACATTTTCTGTGTCAGAAGTGACACCTCCTACTGATATTCTATAGAGGCTGTAGCCATCAGTACTAGCTCTTTCCACAGAAACATAGCTGTCAGGATGTCTCCTGAAGACATATTATCTCACACTGAAAAAGTCTTTGAAAATCTACACTTCCACTTGAAGTTGTTAAGCATTTGAAATCTGCTGTCAAGAGGAGGTTTTGGATTGGTTCAAGTGACTATACCATTTGCTTTTAAGCACTTGTATTTTGCCTAGCTCATGTCATATGATTCATGAATACAGACACACTTAAAAAGGCATGATTGATTCATTTAAACATACTTGGGCATTTAATTTCCCCAAGCAAAAATCCATCTGTGGGAGGGTACCAACTTGTATCTGCACATATCAAAGGAGAAAATGCTGTAACTGCATGATACAGTCCAAATCATTCCCTTGAGGAAATAATGAAAAGAAGGGGTTTTTGAAAAGGCCTCAAGGCAAGCCTGCAACTTGCAAATGATAAGCTGTAATCAGTGGATGGAAGGATATTTGCATCCTTCCCCGCCCCAGAGATCTGCACCTGCAGAGAGGGTATTTGTTTGGGATTCTGTCCATCAAACTGCAACAAATGAGGTCAGGAACAAGTTTAGGTAATCAAGACAGCCATGAGAACATAACAAAGGCTACAGAGATGGAGGAAGGGATGTAGAAAACACACACATGCTAGGCAACATAACATAAAGAGGATGAGAATATCAGAATAGGAACGATGGTATGAAAGTAAAAGGCAATGATGGGATGTTTACCTATGTCTGTGTTGCTGGGGCAAGGAAATAATTTAGCACAGGCTCCTTCCTTACCAAGTATTAATTTCAATGCTTTTATATTTACTGACAGATGCCAATATATATGCCTACCATACAAAGAAGCCATAACTTCCCCTTATACCATCTGAAGATCAAGCACCAAGACCGATGATACTCTTCCCACACAGGACAGTAAACCAAACACTGTCTTCCTGTGCTTCTCCTCACAGCAGGTGTTCAGTGGTAGCACCGCGTGCCTCTGCTCCACGCTTGGTAGTGCACAACGAAGTGTTCTGCAAAAACAGGGTCCTGCAGGCATGATGGCACTAAGTCTCAACGATCCATTTGGCATGTGAACTGGGATATTGCTGGAAGGCTTGAGGTTAAAATGTGTTTTCACAAAAGTGGGAAAAGAATTCATGGCTCTTTCAAAGCCCACTTTGGAGCCCAGATGCAGTCGCAACATAGTTGAAGCCACTAGTTTCATTCAAAGAGATCCAACTCTGCTATTCTCTATGGCACAGACAGATGGTAGGTTTCAGTACCTCCATGACAAGTCACATATCTCAGACTCAACTGAGATATCTCAGACTGTCTCTGACTTTTACATGGTTATTCAATATGTAGGCATCTTACCCACTTATTAAAAATAATAAATAAAATCCACCATGTTATCATTCAAAAGCACGACAGACTTCAAACATAAAACAATCTTTGCATGACACGAGTAGCAACAATTCTGTGAAACCTCTAGTTGGATTTCACTTCAGCTACATCACAGCCAGGGGTCATAGGATTGTTCCACCCACTCCATGGCAGCTGTGTATACAAAGGAGCAAGCCCAAATGGAAAGGGAAAATTCCAGAATACATCACAGAATCGTTCTGGTTGGAAAAGACCATTATCATCGAGTCCAACCATTAACCTAACTCTACCAACTCTGGTGCTAAACCATGTCCCTATATACCACATTTACATGTCTTTTAAACACCTCCAGGGGTGGTGATTCAACCACCTCCCTGGGCAGCCTATCCCAGTGTTTTATAAACATTTCAGTGAACTAGTTTCTTCTAATATCCAATATAAACCTCCCCTGGCACAACTTGAGGCTGTTTCCTCTTGCTTTGTTGCTTGTTTCTTGCCAGAAGAGGCTGACCTCACCTCACTACAACCTCCTTTCAGGTAGCTGTAGAGAGTGATAAGGTCTCCCCTCACCCTTATTTTCTCCAGGCTAAAAACCCCAGTTCCCTCAGCCACTCCTCATGAGACTTGTTCTCTAGACCCTTCACCAGTTTTGTTGCCCTTTGTTGGACTCACTCCAGCACCTCAATGTCTGTCTTGGAGAGGGAGGCCTGAAACTGAACTAATTACTCAAGGTGTGGCCTCACCAGTGCCAAGAACAGGGGGACAATCACTTCCCTAGTGATTTCCGATACAAGCCAGGATGCCAGATGCATCAGAAATGCCAGCTAGAAAAACGAAGAAGACAAATGCATTTTCTGATGGTTGATATCCAACTGCTCTTTTATAACCAAGCCCTAGCAGTGCAGATTACATCTTTAGCACCAAACTGGTTGAAAACATTATGAGGTGCTACATCCAGCTGGGGAGCCTTGCCCAGGCCCTCAACCATCACACTTGAGAGGGGCAGATGCAATATCCATTTGAGTGGGAAAGTGAGAAGTCTACACAGCTGCCGCTCCAGGAAGAGGTAGAAAGGAGCACGCACTGCACCAGAGGGCTTCAGGCTCACCTATAAACCTGTGTCTGATGTGGGAACAGCCATTTCAGATAAAAATAATTGTTAAGGGAAGATAGGTTACTTTCAAGCTCTTCAAAGATTTCTGCACATAGCTGCAAGTAAAATACAAATCTTAAAAGGGCAATCTGTTGGCAGCCTGTTACCCAAAGGTGTTTCAAAAATGGCTATGGCAAAGCTCTCCTCCAACATTTCTGCAAATACCTGTCAGCTGCTAGAATAAGTGTTTTGGTTTTCTGAAAACCAGTATG